ATCTTCAAATTCATCTGGATATGGGCCTCTAGGACCACCAAAGTTGCTAGATACTGGTCCTATAGGTCCACTAAAAGGATGGTTTGGAACACCTCTGGAAGGTTTAAACTGCAAGGGTTGTGGTCTGTTCTGAAGTTCAAAATTAAATTGTCCTCGACTACCTGGAAATGGAGCTGGCATGGGTCCTCTTGGCCCTTCAAACCTAGGCAAATTGTCATGTTGTAGGGGACCTTCCAAATGAGGACGACTATCAAACTGCAATGGACCATCAAACCTAGGAGGATCCTGAAATCTAGGAGGAACATCATTTGGCCTACCAAAATGAGGTTCTTGGAATTCCATTTGTGGACTATTTTGTCTATCAAATCTAGGGGGTGACTGTCCTGGTTTAGCAAAATGAGAAGGGAGAGGGCCTCTGTCTGCAAATGGATGATGAATCTGGGGTCCAAATTGTCCAGGCAAAGGTGCGGGTCCTGTGTGCTCCATTTTTTGTTCAAGTGGCATATCCCTATAACTATCTAAGTTAGATGTAAGGTTATCTTCAGGATAGATAGGGGAAGCCCGTAAACCTGGATGATTAGGTATAAGAGGCGGTCTTTGTTCACTATAAACAGGTAGAATTTCATGCTGTGTTTTAGGTGGACCGACTATGGGGTTCATTGAAAATTGTGGCTCAGGTCTATTATTGTCTTCTGGATTAACTGGATTGATACGGTTTACAAAAGGACCTGTTTGACTGTGAATTTGCTCTTCATTATGTGGAAACATTATTTCAGTTTTAGGTTCAAAACCATCTGTCCTATTGTCTAAGGAAGAGACAGCCTGATTAGGAAAGTGAGCTTGCGCACTGGGTTCAGGTTTCCAAGCTGGTTCTTGTGGCGTTAAAAACAGGTCACTACCAGCAAGTGGCAATGGCCTAAGTAGTGGTGGAATTGACACAGGGGTTGGCAGCAGGACTTTACGTGTGGGTTTAGTGGTGCCTACAGGTTCAGCCTTTTCAAAGACACTTTCCTTTATTGTCGGGTTATTAACAGGAGGTATGGTCTCATTCTGGATACTAATAGATGATGATGATGTTGTAACAGGAGTGGCTCTCATGGATTCAACGGGAACAAGTGGTGTCTCGACTTGTGACTGTGTAATAGGAACATCTTCTGTGTCTGGCAGTATTCTTTTTGCTACTGCTTGTCGTGGGTCTTTTGCTTGCCTAGGATCACGTCTTGGGATTACATGAATATCATTATCAGTTCCAGCTTTTAGGGTGCTGGGTTCGTTTGAAAACAGATCGGCGCTCGATATGGAAGGTTTTGGAGGAGGTGACATCAAAGCATCAGATACAGAGAAATGAGCCATGGAGACGCCTACTGCTGCCCTTTGTTGCCTAAGAGCTTCCTCCTGTTCTTCAAGTTGTCGCTTTTGCTCTTCTATTTGTTTGTTTAACTCCTCTAGCATTTTTTGCTGTTCTAGAAGAGATGGCGAACCAGAAGCCTCTGCTAGAAATTCTGCAGATTCTTCTAAAGATTTGAGTTTATTTTGAGCAGCTGTCTTGTTGGGTAAATCTTCAACTGGGACTTTGGCTTCTTCCAGTATGGTTTCATCTTCTGGATCATAGGCCTCGTCATCATATAAATTTTCACAAGGCTGTTCAGGTTCATATGGTGTATCATTACTGTCAAAAACCATTGTAGGAACAAAAGCTTTTTCTGGAGTATACTCTTCTTCTGGGTCGTAGGGTCTATCATCTTCCTCCTCAAAAGCTTTATCCTTAGACATCTGTCCAAATTGCTGGACAATGGGATCTACAAAGCCTCTCTCAGTTACAGGCTCTACTGAAGTGGTATTGGTAGAAGTAACAGCAGCAGGAGTACTCGTATTTTCATTCTTAGTTTCAGGTGCTTTCCCAAAGAGAGTCTTCAAAATGTGCTCCAATGGAGTGGCTTTTCCGGATAATGCAGGATGTTCAACAGGCGGAGAAGAACCCTTTGATATGTTGGTTGTGGGGACAACACTCTCTATCCTGATGGGTGGCAGTGTGACAATGGGAGGAACAACCTTTGGAGTTGGCTCAGAGATTGGTGGAGGTGATCCAGGGGGTGTGGTACTTCTCATTATGTCAGTAGACAGTGGTTGATATTTCTTCTTCTCTGGCGGAACAGTGATGGTTGTTGGTTTGGTAAAAGTCAAGATGTCCAACTCCTCCTGGCTTTGAGCCTTCAGACGTTTCTCTTCAATCTTTTCTGGCTCAATAGGACCAGGGCGTTTATTTCTCTGACAGATTACTAGACCCAGAATCAAGTTTGGACGTGTGGACTCAAGTCCTAGAACAGCAAAAGACAAAAATTACAGAAATTTGTAATGCATTGTTAAACTGGCAATGAGATTGCTTTATCATTCCACCCCTACAGACCAAGTCGACCACATTAATACATTTGTAATGAAGTATATAGTACACTAAACAAAACAGGGACAAGTATTGAGAGCCGTAGTGGCTGACATTGCTTACCTTGTAAATGTTAGCTACCTGGCTGTCATGCTGATGCAATGGCAATCATTGTTAAAGGCAAATAGGCTGTTTTTTTTTCTAATGGAATTTTCCCTAGAGCTTTTTGATTGAGGTAAAGTTCTGCTGATTTCCATCATCCAATCACAACAAGCATAATGCGTTTTTTTTTCCCCATTTTCCTTGCATGCGTTCTCTGCAAAGTGAAATTTCACCACATTCACCAAGCTTTGGGGAAAATTCCCATGCATAGTTAACAGCCCGTTTACCTTTAGTAAATCAACCCCAATGTTTTCATCTTTTTGGCATCGCCCTGATTTTGTTAGCTGCATGCTTCTTCAAGGAGAGTGACCCCTACATAGTGAAGGTAAATACAGCCAGATGACTAGCATTTTCAAGGAAAGGTCTGACACGGCAGCACCCATATTTCCATCACAATAGGTTTCCTTTAAAACTGCAAAGGAAACAGAGTTGGAACAACCAGATTAATTGCATTTCATTGTTTCTGCAGCCTAGAAGATGTAAACCCACTGCAGGGTTGTTGTGCAAAACAGTGAAGCAAAATCTAGTTGCTAAAGGCAGCGGTAAGTCAGGTCCTGTGTGAATGCTGACGGGGCCAATCGTGACAATGTTAATATTGATGTACAAGTACCTGCAAACATAGGATTATCAAAAGCAGATAGCAGTTTGGGTATGTTATGACTTCATCAATGAGCATAGTGAAAGTAGAGATCATAGAACATTGGAACCCAAGGCTGACTTAAAAAAAAAAAAACTCAACTACAGTTCTGTGTTTTTACCTGTGGAAACCAGGCTTCCAGAAATCTTTTTGCATCCCATTATCACCCCCTGTGCAGAAATGTGTACTAAAGTAGAATTTATCTGTAATGTAGAAATTATATATCACATGCTGGGAGTGCTGAGGTCATGTGGAAGGTATGTTCAGTGAAGCTCATACCCAATTTGAGTATGTTGTGTTTGGATTCCTCACTCTACTGTAAAGAGAACAGTAGTACAGAATCTTGCATCATTATATGGGCAATCTTTAGAGAAAAGACAGCCGTCATAAAAAATGAGGAAATTTGGTTTACTAAGCTGGTCAATGAGGTACTACAAAGAGGGGGATAGGAACTGACTGAATATTTGGTGAGGGCATTATGCCTATAGGAAGGTTATAGGTTGACTGTTCAGCCTGTTAAGTATTGTGTACTTGTTTCTTCATGGAACAGAGTGATAACCAGGTTATGCTGCTTTCTGTAAGTCTTCAAAAGAAGCCAGAGAAATAGGCTGCCATTGTTGCAGTTCTGAAAATGCTGGTTTCCTAGCTGTCAGGATATATTGCCTCAACACTCTAAACTACCATGGCTGGAAGTTGTAACTTCATTTTCCTTGGAGTTTGTTTCGTGTTGAAACAACTTTATCAAAAGCAAGCATGTGGATTACATCACATCCTTTTGCAAGTCATATGCTGATTCCCAGCTAATTAAACATTACGGTGTTGAGGTGTCTCCGATTCCTGTAGTTTAGCTACGCACCTCCATCTGCTGCTCCTGGGGTCATACTAGATGGGCAGCATCATGCATGGTAAAAGAGCCTGGTTCACTCTTCGTGAATGATCTCCCACTCTCAGCTGGATATGTGAGCACATACTATAAAGATGTTTCAGACAGTTGTGCTAGCAGTGTTTAAAATTCACTTAGCAGTAATTATGTGTAACTATACTTAGGTGTTCTTTTATATTTGAGTTCAGTTTTACTTGTAGTATGAAAGGCTAGGGTCTCGGTTCTGTAGTGCGATTCTGCTTTGTATGATGCTGACCACATTTTGTGCTGGTGTGTGAACCTGATTCTGGTTTCCAGGTTGTGGGCTGTCTCCTGTTCAGAATGTAGGTAAAAGGAGTAGGTTTACCTCAACATGTATTGAGATAACATGAGCTTGTGCCAGCATGCCCACAGCAACTCAGTTTGGGAAACCAAACCATTTTTTTATTTCAGACACTTGGGAGGCCAAAATGAGCTTCTCTACCATCTTGTGCAACCAATAACGTCTATCTTTGTGTGGTAATTTTTATTACTACATGACAGCTTTCACTTCAGTGGCTTGGGTCCCCTCATGTCTAGAAAGGCTGTATGTGGATGCAGAAAGCTGAAGTCCAGATGAAGAGCAAATTACATTCTGAGAATTTTTCTTTCGAAGGACCGATTCTCGAAGTCTTCAGGCATCGGATGTGTTCATTACAAGGACACCCACTGGACCTTCCACGTACCACAGGCAAGCAACATGAAAGTATGTCAGCAAAATACCGATACTCAAAACAGACAAATTGTTTGTAGAAATTGTTTATTTTTTTTAAATCACAGAAAATTAAAGCAAAAAAAACCCTCAAATGTTAATTATGCATGCAGGATTCGATTCTGCCAAGATGCAGGAAATACTTACCCTTTGCTGTCAAAATATTTACAGTTTGGGGAAACGAATTCTAATGAACAAGCTCCTTACCTGGTCCCTCAAAGGGCAACAGTTTAGATGGAATTGGGTCCTTGGCACTCAGAGGGATGAGATAGAGATCCTTTATGTGCCTGTTGTTATTGGCCACTACCCCGAAACGTCCACGGCTACTGAAATAAGAGTAGAGGGAGATGTAGGCCACTTCCTCCTCTTCTGTGGCTGGGTGGAAGCGGATTAACGACAGCTCCTGTAGATGGAAAAATCAAAACAGACATGTCAAACATAAATTTGGAAATGCCTCTATATACAGCTAAGTCATGTAAGTGGAACTTCAGAAAGGTCAGAAAATTAAGTCCAGTTAGATCACTTCAGGATGCCTCCTTTTGCAGGACAGCTATACCTTCCAAAATCCAGTAATACGCTGTCTCATTCGGCACTGTACATGGTCAGATGCTCTCTATTTGTCAGCACTCTGCCAAATTTGTAGAGGCTGATCTGCTGACAGCTTAAGGATTTACTGCTGCTCAGGACTGTGGGCTCCAGCAAAATGCCATCCTTTAGCAAGAACAGGTACAATGCTGGAGGCACAATACAGCACACTAATGCTGGTAGCATAATTATTAATGTGAAATGTTTGTTCCTTGTTAAAGAACATGAGTTTTTCTTTTATCTAGTTGTTACGGGTAAAGTTTTGCTTTAAGTTTCCAAAAAAATAAAATTGTTGTGAATGGGGTATTGGGTTCCAGACTTTACCTACCTTTGACAAAGATGATTTGAGTTTGCCCACATAATCCCAAACAGTCTTTGGAGAGATTCTTCCTCCAATGTGGATGGTGTCTGGCAAGTCCTGATCAAGATGACAGTTCAGTATTAAAACACTATACTAGCAGAAAACAAGCAATACAAACAGATAAATGGACTAGCCCAATGTCACTGCTCAAGAAGAGATGACCTTCCATGTAGAAACAAATATTCTCTTAATGTATCCATAATCCTGCCTATTGAAATCATGTAGGAGACTAAATGGCTAAAAGTCTAATAAAAAAAAAAAAAAAAAAAAAAAAAAAAAAAAAAAAGACTCTTTTATTCTGTGGTCACATGGCTGGTGCACTGCTTCAATATCCAAGGGTCAGGGCAGGAAGACGATGACCAATCAGATTTGAGCAGGCCTCAAGCCATATTTGCTACCTCAAAGCAGTTTCGAAGAGGTAAGCAATTAAAAAATTCAAAATAAAAATAATTTCCCATAAACGTTGTTAAAAAAAAAGGGCAAGTTGGTGAAGATCATGTATTTTGCAAATTGGGTATTTGCGCAAATTTGTTGACGTTTAGCAAAGCTCATGACTGCATTAGGTACAAATGAACCTGTTCTGCGCTAGTAACTGCTGTCTTTGTAACCAATCAAAATTACATTCTCATTTGAGTTTTTAAAAAATAATCTGAAAGCATGCTGTATAGTCATGGACAGAAAAACAAAAAGCACCAGAACAAACCTCGTTTAAGTACTCGATAGAACCGGACACTGGGAAAGCTTTAGTGACAAACTTGGCTACAGATTGCATGTTTATAAATCCCTTCCAGATTGGGCTGAGACGAGAGAGGAAGAGCGAGGTGTCTCCATCTTGAGGTGACCTGATATCAGGCATGCTGTAAAAAGCAGAATAATAAAGTGTAAATGGACTGAGAAGTTGCAGTCAATCTATATGTGATTCACAGTATATAGGCATAAACAGACACAATTGAAGTAACCACTGTATGCAAGAATTGACTAGCTTTATACGAAGTGCCCATAAAATGTACATCTGGGTAAAATGAAAAACAGACCCCCATTCGCTGTCTCTGCCACACATTTCTCAATGTACCTGAGGATCTGCAAGAAATCCAGTGAGCTCCTATCATACTGTACGGAGCTGACAACATTGTCTCCGCAGCCGGGAAATCCCAAGCAGTGTTGTCAGTCCTGCTCCCAGCTGGACTAGAGAACTCCTTCCACTACCTATAGTAAAACCTTCTCTGGTCCATCAGATGATAACGGAGCAGGGCTGACAACACTGCTTGGGATTTCCCTGCAGCAGAGGCAATGTGGTATAAAGGACAACAGGGAGTAAGGAGCTTGCTGGATTTCTGGTATTCTTCTGTACTTGCAGCAATAATGTATAAAACATGGAGAAATGTGTATGGCTTAGAGATATGTTGAATATGTTTGCCTAGATTTTCAAAGCAAATGAGAACCAAAATGAAGATGTAGGTTGGGTTTTAAGAGTAAAGCATGATTGTTTTTTTTTTTTTTTTTCTACCAAAAGTTTAAACCGCTATACTTCATGTAGTAGAAACGAGTAGCTGTGAAGGAGTTTCCCTACAGTAAGGGCAGGTATACAATATCCTGCCATGGAAATGGGCATCAAATGCAAGGCCTTGATTACTGGGGTTTTGAAGGGGGTGTTCTACACATGCCCCCCCCCCCCAAAAAAAAGAAAAAACACTGGACCTGGCTGCAAAAAAAGCTGCCTGAGCTAAAACACTAACATCAAAGCATTGTTTTGCCTTATGGCTCCCCAGAATAGTCATGGCGTGCTCCATCAATATAGAGCTTCTCCTGGTGGTTTCCCCTACATAACCAAAGTAGCAAAGGATGGCCAAACACCACCAGAAAGGTGGACAGCCATACTAGATGTGCTTTCTTGCACCTAAGCCTGTTACGGAGCCTAAAGAAAATTTGGATTGGCTGCCTTTGTTTTTATTTAACAAATGTTATCTCCAGCTATTACTGGCAGGCTTGGTCAGGAAGGCAACTGATCTGAGCAACCACTGTGACCCCACAGATGGGATTATTACTCCTTGAGCACGTTAGTGATGATAAACTGTAACCTGCTTCAACAGCGCATGGAATTGCCTTCTGTCTTCTAGATCAACAGTATTAGATTTAAAAAGCCCATTAGATGGACTATACTATACCAGGGGCGGACTGACCATTGGGAAACTCGGGCACTGCCCGAGGGCCCGGGGTCAGTAGGGGGCCCCATGAGATGCCCCTGGTACCTTTTTCATAGGCTTTTTTGAGTTTGGCCAAGGACACAGGGGCCCCATGAGTTATCAGTCCGCCACTGTACTATACTATTCAGCCTGACTATACTGGTACGTATACACAGTCCTGACACACGGAGTTCGATCACGGTGTACTCTAATATTGCACATTATGACTAGATCAGATGTCAAGCAACTCGATCAGCCTGTGTATCCAGAAGGGGCTTTCCTTCATACTTGCTCAAAATTTTTGTTTGTCCGCAGATGCCAGTCAACAACCAGTGGGAAATTTAAGTCTCAAATGTGAAGCAACAAGGAGGGCAGCAAACATCCATCCTTCTTCCTCTTCAGATGTAAAGAGTAGCTATAGAATGGTAACGTCCTTCCTTTAGGATGATTTAAATATCTGACATTTCCGCTTGCATGTATATGGCAGTAAATGAGTGGTCGAGTGTAAGATGAACATTTCAAACAGAGTCACCAGCAAACTGGCTTATCGTACATAATATTGTGAACATGTATTACTAGCTATAAATATAATATTGTGAACATGTATTACTAGCTATAAATATAGTTTGTAACTTATATAACTTATGTACAATTGTATTTGATTACTTCCCGCCCCCCCCCCCCGCTTTGTGCTATGCTGCAAATCGCCATAATTGTCTTTCCATGTCACCAGCGTGTTCAGATTGATGGAAAGCAATACTCTCTCAATATAGCCAAAGTATTTGCACTTCGCTTCATACATAGTAGGGGTTGATTTACTAAAACTGGAGTGTGCAAAATCTTGTGTAGTTCTGCATAGAAACCAATCAGCTTCCAGTTTTTTTTTTTTTTTTTTTGTCAAAGCTTAATTGCTCAAATTAGAAGCCGATTGGCTACCATGCACAGCTGCACCAGATTTTGCACTCTCCAATTTGAATAAATTAACCCCCTCGAGAAACTGGAACAAGAACCTAATATCTGTATATGAAATGCAGTTATAGGAACATGTGACAGCAAGCCATAATGTGAACCGCAGCAAAAAGGTACACACAGGTGAATGTTCCAATAATGTGTGACATAAGTGCATTGAAATGAAAATATCCCCTCCCTTTTGTTGATGTATTTGTTATTGTGTGTATACATGTATATGTAATGTGAGCAGGCCGATCTCCAATAAACCTGTCCTCACACGGCTCCGACAAAGGTCTCATGTCAGTCTCCACTACTTGTTATCCCTGTTTCCCTTAAGTACAGGTATCTAAGTGATCAGTCATCCACTGAGAGGGATGTGTCTGGCACCCAGGCAGGGGTGTATTTACCACAAGGCATTTGCCTAGGGTGGCATTTTTTAGGGGGGGCAGCACTGCCCCCTGGAAGAAGGGACATATGCAGCATGGGGACCAGGTAGGATCTGAGAGAGGCTGTGGGCTGTTTGATGGTGTATGCAGAGCCCGATTGTCATTCCCAGGGATGTCCAGAGCTGTGAAGATGTGTCCGTCTTTCCCTTTGTTGGGGTGGGTGTTCGTGGAAGGCTCTCTTGGGTGGGGATGGGGCAGGAGTGTTGTCGGTCACTATCAAACGGTCTCTGGGGGGGGGTCTGGTGTTGATCGGTGTCAGGCCAGGGGAGGGCCTAGGGCAGCACAAAACCTAAATACACGGCTGCACCCAGGTCGTAATGTAATCTCCTGCCTGTGTTAATGAGTGCTAGACGCACAGACACCAAACCGTGTGTTTCTTTTACAGAAATAGGTCATGTGGCCAGCTTAAATGCAGACATTCTCCTTTAGATGTAGACATTATGACAATGCCAAGTCAACTGCCAGAGAGTAGGCACTACAAGGTCACAGGACTTTTTTTTTACGTTTTCTGATGGTCATAGGTGCTCACGCACACAGCCATGTGTAATTCAGGTCTAAGGCAGTGCCGGCAAAAAGGAGAATGGTGTAAAATCCAGGGTCTGGCACCGTAGATTGTCTAGTACCCAGCAGTTTGCTTAGCATGGCACAGGTTTGCCTTCTGGATGTATTTGAGTTTATTTATATAATAATAAAAAAAAAAAAAAAAGCAATATGGAACAGAATGCAGTATCCCACAGCAATATAATGTCAAGGCACTTAAATAGAAACCTGATTGGCTGTTATGGTCAACTGCGCTCTGTGCCATTCCTTAGCACTACTATACATGAATTCGCTAACTGCCATATGAAGTCCTTCACTACTGTATGTGTGATTGGTTGTGTCTGAATATGTTAATAGCCTCTACAATATTTTTCAATTCCCAGTAAACAGCAGACTTTGTGTTGGTTCCACAGGAATGCTGAGACTACGCACTTGACGTTTGGTGAAGATGATGTTAGATAGCGGATGTCGGAGGTGGTTGGCTTCATCAGGATAGACTTTGGAGCAGAAACAACAGGAGGAGGCTGTGGTGGTGCTGAAGCTTCTTCTTGATCCCGGGTGGTTCTTGGACTGCTGTCTGGAGGGGTGGCAACAGCTACTGGTGGCCGATTAATTGCTCTTCTGGGGTCCCTGCCAGAACCTATGACTGTGGTGACAGGGATGGGGACAGGAAGTATGGGAGCCTGACTAGCTACAGGGGACTGAGGGAGTGGAGGAGAGGCACTGGGCATCCGAACTGGTTCAGGGACCACATTAGGATGCTGTCTTTGATCAGACTGGTCTCCATTGGCGTATCAGACTCCTCTTCAGGCGGTGGAGGTGGCTCATCTTCTGGTTTGATTTTAGGCTCTGGCTTCTTTATGGGTGTAGGGGTGGTTTTCTGGCGTTTACTTGGGGGTTCATCGTCAGCAGATATCTGACCTGTTGAGAAACACAAACATTTAGCTTAAACTGAACCAGCATTCTGGTGGTGTAGGGCAAAGCAAGTCCATCTAAAGAGCAACTGAACCTTGGATAATGTGACCAAAATGTCAGGCAGAGGCACCAGTACTGCCTGTGGTCTTCCTTCTGCCGATATTTCCCCATTGCTCTGTACTTTAGACAGTGATCATGGGAGAGGCAGGACTTTGCTTCCTTACATTAAAGCCTCCAAGGAGACCACTAGGCAACACAATAGTAACATTTAATTTCATAAGACTTTCATTTGTCAGTGTTGATGGGGGGGGGGGATCCCTCCTGCAAAGCCATTATATGCTCCTGGCGGTGGGAGCTGTCCATGCAGAGAGCACAGTAATTATTGTTAGTGGCTAGAATAGCTGCTAGCAATAATCGCATGTAAAATCCAACAGGCTGACTATACCGAAGTTTATCAACTTAGGTACACTGAGCCTGCCCATACCCAGTTCAAATCTTGGCCAGTCCCTGCTGAACCGGCCAAGAGTCAAACAAACAGTCTATGGCTAGCTTTATGCTGTCAACACAATCTAACAGCAAAATCGCCCTTGGATACATAAACTATATAGTAAAAAGGACCTCCAGCACTGGGTACAAAATGAATGGATTAAAAGCAAATTGTAAAGAGAAAACAAAAAAACAACCCCAAACATCTCTATACTTACCTGCTCTGTGCAATGGAAATGCACAGAATGGCCCTGATCCTCCTCTCAGGTCCCGCCTGTACTCCTAAGCTCCTCCCCTCTATCCATTGCTCCCACGGGAAGCGGCTTCCCATGGGGCACTTTTGTGTGCTTACTCCTGGCCCCACCCCATCACTGGCTTTGACTTACAGCAATGGAAGCCAATGGCTTCCAGGGCTCCAACAAAGAAGCAGAGACCTGGAAGTGAAGGGAGAGAAGAGCTGCAGACGTGCACAGCACTTGGTCAAATTAGAGCTCAGGTAAGTAAAAAAGGGAGGGGCCATTGCATTTTACCTTAATGCAAGGAATGCGTTAAAGTGGTACTAAAGCCTAAACCTTTTTTACCTTAAGGTAGTGCTCACATTAAGAGTTTCAGTAAAAATAGGATCAATTTTGTGTGGTAACCTAAAAGCAGCCAGTCACATTCAGCAGCTTACAATGCCTAAAGCCCAACTTCAACAAAAACTTTCTATTTTGTTTTACAAAAAGTGCATGAATAAAAAAAACCAAAAAAAAAAAAACCCCTCATGCTCAACTAGATGGCTGTGGCATCAATCTAATGCTGCAGCTGTCCTCCACAGAGAACTGAGCAATCAAAGACTGCGAGAGTGGTGCCTGCGAGTTACCGCTCTTTGCTCTGCCCCTCCAGCACTCACTGGAGTGGCAAGCTGAGAGGCTGAGCAAGCTGCTGGTCAGGCATCTGGGCGACTCCTAGCAAAATTGTTGGGATCCCTGCAGAGCCTGGAGTGGCTCTGTGACGTCAGCTGACAAGAGGCACACTCCTGTAGCCCACAAGAGAAGTATGGCCAAAACAGCTTTTGCCATACTTTAAGTTTTTATTGCTGACCAACCTTACCTCAGTTAGGGTAAGACAGTGGCGTTTACTTACTCCTACTGGGAGTACAAAATCTGGTGCAGCTCTGCATAGAAACCAATCAGCTTCCAGTTTATTTTTTTTTTTTAAAGCTTCATTGAGCAAGTTGAAGTTAGAAGCGGATTGGCCACCAAGTACAGCTGCACCAGATTTTTGCACACTACGGTTTTAGTTATCCAAGCGCACAGTGACAGGAATGTAAACAGCAGTAATAACTAATTCTAACCCTTACCATACTGTGAGGTTGATTTACTAAAACTGGAGAGTGCAAAATACGGTGCAGATGTGCATAATAGCTTCTAACGTCAGCTTGTTCAATTAAGCTTTATAAAAAAAAAAAAAAGCGAGCCGATTGGTTTCTATGCAGAGTTGCAGCAGATTTTTACTCTCCAGTTTTAGTAAATCAACCCGTGTATTTTACAGCAGTGTCTCCATTGGCGAGACTTCATATGACTTTCATGATTTATTTAACTCTTCCACACAGCAAATCACTTCCTGTCCTGTGCAGTGTGACAGATGTTTAGAAAGTCTTCTGCTTTACAAATGACTTTCTAAACAAAAGTACAAATCCTCTGATTGGTAAAACAGTAGGGGCCCATTTACTGCTTTGAGATGCATTATTGTGTATTGCATTGAGGCAGCCCATTGAAAATAAATGGAAGTGTAAATGAACCCTAAAACATTTAGATATCTTTCAACTGTGTATTTAGCTTTTAGCCTGGTGTTCTACTAGAATGTACCTGTACAGATTTTGCACTTGAGATCAAACAGATGGGCACGATGCTGGCTTGTTGTGTCGTCCAACATACTGCTGAATATGTCTGGGAGAGCCGAGGTGCTTTTCTCTGGAGGAGGAACACGAGCTGCTTCTTGTTGCTCCTAAATCAAAATTTTAGAAAGGAGAAAAAAAAAAAAAAAAAAAAACAGGACAATAAGTTTCAATAAATGCCTTTTCAGCAGGAAATCAGGTTTTTCTACAGTGCTAAAACCCAAGTGAAGTCTCAGTATGGAAGCAGTGTTGTGGGAAAAGTGTTTCCACAGCAGGTTAACAGCGTGCAAAGCAGTGGGTAAGAGCTGAAAAAGAACAGTTTTGTGGAGCCAGGCAGCATAAGCACATTGAATGTGGGGTCACATAACAGAATGGCTAACATTCCCAGATCAAGTCCTAAGAGGAAACAGGATCCCATCCCTGATCAGCCAGAAAGATGCATAATAATTCCAAAACCAAAATGTCTACTTCTGGAAGGGCCTGCAATAGAATGGAAGTCTGGAACAGTTTGGCCAGCGTAGATGTGGTCCCACACAATTATACAAGCTATGCTACAAAAGATCCGAAACCCACCGTGTCAGTATCGGACATGGGAGGGGATTCCTCCATATCTACTAAGAAATGTCTTGAGAAGCTTTTATGTTCCACACGAGACTTGGTTTTCAGAACCGCAGTCTATTGGAGTGAAGGAAAAAATACACAGCTCATTTAGCAAAACATGCAATATTTACTATGCTTGCCTAACTGGTACTCCATCAGAAACATCACATGTACATAAATACTTACACATGGCAAGAACCTGCACAACACTGGTGGGGCAACGGGCACTGTCCTCCATCGCTGGCTTAAACATGACAGGACCTTGTCACTAGCGAGGGAGCAGCAATAGAGGGACACCATAGGATGCAGACAGTAGTCTCTATCAATCCAGTTGCTGGTGAGTTGTCGCCAGCAACAGAATCAGTAGTTTGATAGGGCCCTAAGAGTGGCAAAACTATGATTTCTATCATGTGATACCCTTAGGAAGAAGCAAGCATGGGCAATAGATGTGCTCATTATTGCTCAAATCAGAGCACCGTCATCACCAAAATTATAAAACATTTTTTTTTTTTACACAAACATGGAGGTGGTGGTCATTTGAATGCATTTGATTTGTAGTCAAAAAGCAATATCAGGTAAATGGCAAAGGCAGCTACATCTGCTTTTTCTTAAAAAAAAAAAAAAAAAAAAAAAGCCTGTTTATTTGCACCAGTTTCAGAGTCCTGATTTAATGCCTTAGCTTGCCACACTGCTTGAATTTCACCCAGTTTCTTGCAAACCAGACAACATTCACTCAGGTCCTGTTGGCTGCCTACCACCCGACATCCCTGAATTGAAAAATCTAAGGAACTGGGTGGAAAATTGCCAGCTATGCAGCTCCTGCACCCAACTGGATGCAGCCACTGCTGAGGTATTTCGACAGCTGGCAGGACTGACTGTCAAATACAACAGTCTATCCACACTAGCTTGAGGCAGGGAAATATCTGCTTTTCAAATTTTATACAACCACTGAAAGGTTTATCCAGTAGTTCTTTTGGAATCTAATCGGAATATGTGATCTGAATTTAAAAAAAAAAAATGGCTGCTATGGGCTATTGCATAACAAAGTAGTTGACAATATGGTCCTGCAGCTATGCATTGTAAACACTGTCCTAAGGGTGTGACATGATGATAAATGTTTAGATCTTGATTTAGATTGGAAAATGAGTTACACCGACTGTCATTTTATTATAACACTTGCTACATTCATTCAGAATATGTTCCCATGAATGTCACAAGCCTATTAGAAAACAACTCAGAAGATGACTCCAACGTACCGTTTTTGACTCCATCTCTTTCCAGGAAGAAAGCCTCTTTGATGCGAGGGCTTCGGGTTTCAAGCGCACCAATTTTGCCGATGAGATTTCTCCACGAACAACACGCTGGAACAGACCCTGGACACGACCACAGTGAGACAAATTTTAACTATATAATCCAGTGTCTAGGTTTTTTTTTTTTTTTTAATACACTGACTAATAAGTGTAAACATTTGTAAAGATTTAAACCCTCCCTCTTAGATTGTAAGCTCCCAGGATCAGGGCCTTCCTACCCTTTTGTATTGAACTGTATTGTCTCCTGTTATATTGTAAAGCGCTGAGCAAACTGTTGGCGCTATAAATCCTGTATAATAATAATAAAAAGGCTAAAAATATTTATTTCTGCATGATTTATCAAAGTGGCTGAAATAAGAGAAACCAAATTCAAACCCTTTCCAGGAAACGGACATTTAGAATTCATAAGTCCTGGAATCTAATTGTACATTTTTGTTGTGCCCCCTAAACACTTGGGTGAGGCTCAGCCTGTGAAAAAAAAAAAAATGTAATTGTGTATGTAACCCAGCTATGAATCCCCTCCATTCCTGTTTAAGGCCCTGCATCTAAAAAAGAACTCTGTGATCCCTACGGACACAAGTCCACTGAAAAGCACTTCCTGTATACAAGGGGAGAAAAGCACCAGCAGACCTTTTTAGACCTCCAGAAGATAGTGTGATTTTATTCTACGTATCCTCTCATCACCTTTCAATCTAAACCAAGAATTGTGGGTGCAATCCTTCTGTATCATCAAGATCTTACCTGGTTCTTTGGGTCCTTCAGGTTAAACATGATGGTCCTATACTTGCTCTTGTATCCACTGCCCGTGTCTTTAAAAAGGTTGAACATCTCTTTTTCAATGTTTATAGCAACAAGCCCCACCTCGTTCTCGGACATCGACAGATCATCGCTGTCATTCACCCTAAATTACAAAAGAATTCACAGCATGTTAGCACAGTTAAGTGATAAACCATTCTTACATTATTACAAAATGCAAAAAAACACACAACAAAAGCCGCAACAATCCTAACCTAAAAATGCAATCTTTTTACTATAGGTCTCGGCTACGGATACTCCCCTGGAATACAACTATTAGAGAAACACCATGATGTGAACCCTAAGCACAGGACATATATAGATACCAGCATCTAGCCAAGCAGTGGAGGCACTCAGCTGTGCTATAGGGACTTGGGAGGTATTTGAGACTAAAAGACTGCAAATAAAAAAAAAAAAGAAAAAAATACAATTGCATGTGAGCAGTTGCACAGGAGCGTGCAGAGATTTTAAGGAACTGAAATATCGCAAAACGCGATGAAACTCCTGGTAAGCAACAAGATATTTGCCTAACTAGAACATACCAGAGCTTGATATTAGCAACGATAAATGAGCTTTTTCTATAGCTAGCTATAGATGGATCAAATCTCAGCTGGTTCAGCATGGACCGGGCCAAGATTCGATCCATCTCTGGGCAGGCTGGTTGTACAGTAGTTGATCCGATCAACTTTAGTACTAGCAGCCTGATGGATTGTTTACAATGACTGCCATCGGCTATAGCCTCTAGCCGTAATCATTGAGTTATACCAGCTGGGAAGGCTCCCTGCTGGCAGAACACGACAGTTCTGTGCTGATGGGGAAATCAAGCCATTCTTACCTGCAACCCGTGGCATCATCTATGGCTTGCCTAAGAGGGAGAGAAGTTCCAGCTCTTAGCAATTAAGATTGCTTCGTCTAGAGAGCTGTGTAACTATGTCCCCTTTCTAAAATCAGTTGTACTGAAGAGGCCCAAGAACTAGCAAGGTAGGTACAATGGCTTCTCCGCTAACAACCAGACCATTTCATAACAGATGTCAGGTGACAGCTCAGACCTCATGCTGCCTTCAACATTCATGCCGTCAACGAAATGAGGCATAAATCCCTATGTAAACAGAGCACACCAAAAAAACGACAGTTCTAAAATAATTACACTCCATATACTAAAAAAATGCTAACGGAACGTGTTGTGTGGTTCACATGGATGACTTTTAGGTGCAGATTAAAAGCATCAAAACAAAGTTTTCCCACACCTTTTGACAAGGATCTCCTTTAATGACCTGCGGATGTTCTGCCTGATCTGATTATTGGGTCCGGGATGAGATGAGCTGGGAATTGGCTTAGGTGGAGCACTAGGCACCGATGAAGATGATGTACTAGGTGCAGACGTGGAAGACGTGTGGGCCGGAGAGACCCCCGATGCTGGTTTCTTGTTTATGGTGTTTAAAGTAGGCATCTTCTTTGGATCAGGTGCAGAAGATGGAGGTGGTATCTTCTTGGGTATCTTTGGAAGTCTACTGATAGCAGATGTAGTGAGAAGAATGGGAGGAGGGTGGGGTTTCGGTTTTAGAGACAGGAGAGGTTTGATGCCGCTGATGATGGTAGACTGTTTTGGTGGCTGCTTGCTTAAAACCGGGGAAATGGGGACCTTCTTCAACATGGGGATCCGGGGCAGAGCAGAGATGGGTTTCATTGCCAAAGACGTTGGAGAGGGTGGTGGCTTTTTAACAGAAGCAGCAGGAGGAGCAGAAGCAGGGACAGAAGCAGGGACAGGGGCTGGGGCAGGAGCAGGGGCGGGAGGTGCAGGTTTCTTTTCAGGTTCTTCTGTTTTCTCAGCTACAAGAAAAAAACAAAAACACAAAAGTGAAAATGTTTCTGTATAGCAAGGTTTTCATATTAATGGGGTTAGGCTAGTGTTTGCTGGAAGATATGCCTTTTATAAACAAAAAAAAAAAAACACTAACACACATGACTTCACACTTCGTTATTAGACTGGCTTGTTCATTGGTTCCCCCTTATTTAATATAAACAAAAAAAAAAAAAAACTTTAAAAATAGGGAAAGTAGATCAACGAGGCCATCATTTCTTTGAAGATTACCTAATATCATGCAACCCCAACATCTTGTTTGTGAAACGCCAAAAGTAGCTGCTTACGCTTGTGATGCCATTCATTGTTAAAAGGCACCCATTTTTTGCAAAGTTAACCACTTGCCCTCCGGAGGATTTACCCCCCCTTTCCTGACCAGGCCATTTTTTGCGTTACGGCGCTTCATTACTTTGACAATTGCGCGGTCATTTACCGCTGCACCCAAATGAAATTTACATCATTTTTTTCCCCCCACAAATTGAGCTTTCTTTTGGTGGTATTTTTTTTTTTTTAATTTAAAAAGACAATTTTGAGGGAAAAAAAAAAAAAAAAAACTATTTTTCACTTTTTGCTATTAAACATGTACAGTAAAAAAAAAAGTTAAAAATCAAATTGTCATAAATTTAGGCCAAAATGTTTTCTGCTCCATGTCTTTGCTAAAAAAAAAAAAAAAAAAAAATCCCAATACGTGCAAATTAATTGGTTTACATGAAAGTTATAGCGTTTACAAATGGCAGTATATACGGTGGATATAAAAAGTCTACACACCCGATAGAAGGTCAGGTTTCTGTGATATATAAAAATGAGACAGATAAATCATTTCAGAACGTTTTACACCTGTAATGTAATGTATTTACAACTGAAAAACAAACCAAACTTTTTTTTTTTTTTTTGGGGGGGGGGGGGGGGGGGGGTAGGGGGGGTCTTTGTCTAAAAAAAAAAAAAAAACTAAAATAATGAGGTTGCATAAGTGTGCACACCCTCTTATAACTTATATCACATTCATATTAAATAGGAGTCAGTACACACCCGCCATCATTAAAAGTGCTTCTGATTAACCCCAAATAAAGTTCAGCTGTTCTAGTAGGTCTTTCCTAACATTTTTTTAGTTACATCCTACAGCAAAAGCCGTGGTCTGCAGAGAGCTTCCAAAGCATCAGAGGGATCTCGTTGTTAAGAGATCAGTCAGAAGGGTACACAAGAATTTCCAAGGCATTAGATATCCCATGGAACAGTGAAGGCAGACATCAAGTGGAGAAAATATGACAAACAGTGACATTACCAAGAACTGGACGTCCCTCCCAAAATTGATGAAAAGACGAGAAGAAAACTGGTCTGGGAGGTTGCCAAGAGGCCTACAGCAACGTAAAAGGAGCTGCAGGAATATCTGGCAAGTACTGGCTGTGTCGTACCTGTGACAACAATCTCCCGTGTTCTTCATATGTCTGGGCTATGGGGCAGAGTGGCAAGACAGAAGCTTTTTCTTAAGAAAAACATCCAAGCCTGGCTATATTTTGCAAAAACCCATCTGAAGTCTCCCAAAATCATGTGTGAAAATTTGTTCTGGTCTGATGAAACCAAGGTTGAACTTTCTGGCCATAATTCTAAAAAGATGTATTTGGCACAAAAACACTGCACATCACCAAAAGAACACCATACCCACCGTGAAGCATGGTGGTGGAGTATCATGCTTTAGGGACGTTTTTTTTTTCTTCAGCTAGAACTGGGGCCTTAGTCAAAGTAGAAGGGATTATGAACAGTTCCAAATACCGGTCAATAATCGGCACAAAACCTTCAGGCTTCTGCTAGAAAGCTGAACATGAAGAGGAGCTTCACCTTTCAGCATGACAACGACCCAAAGCATACAGCCAAATCAACAAAGGAATGGCTTCTCCAGAAGTTGAAAGTTTTGGAATGGCCCAGCCAGAGCCCAGACCTGAATCTGATCGGAAATCTGTGGGGTGATCTGAAGAGGGCTGTGCACAGGAGATGCCCTCGCAATCTGACAGATTTGGAGTGTTTTTGCAAGGAAGAGCAGGCAAATATTGCCAAGTCAAGACGTGCCATGCTGATACTCGTATTTTAAGGGTGTGCACACTTATGCAACCATATTAGTTAATTTTTACTTCCCTCCACCTAAAAGATTTCAGTTTGTTGTTCAACTGAGTTGTACAGTTTATAGGTCACATTTAAGTTCTGAAATGATTCATCTTTGTCTCAATTTTTTTACATCACAGAAACCTGACATTTTAACAGGGGTGTGTACTTTTTATATCCACTGTATAGTGGGTTTTTTTTTTTTCTTTTTTACTAGTAATGATGGCGATCAGCAACATATAGCAGAACTGCGGTGGGCATTCTAACACTATTGTTGGTGGGTGTTTGTGGGGGGGGGGGGGGGGGGACTTGGTGTCACTGACATCCCTAGTGACACCAATACAGCGGTTAAAACATATGAAGCTTACAAAATGTGCATGAGTTATTTTGTCACGTCCTCGCACACTAGGCATTTTAAATACGCTGATAGCTGTATAAAGTCACGATAATGCAAGTTTTTCCGCATTTTTGCATTAGCGTTTAGCTGAGTTTTTGTTTTTAAACACCTAAAAAAAAATTGCTCCAAAAAAACGCTGGTTTGCCGAGTTTTACCGTGTTCACCAGCGTTTGAGCATTTTTACAGCTAAAAAAACTCCTCTAGAAACCCACAAGTTCTGGGTTTTTTTCCAGCCAAAAAATGCTGACTGAGGCTCCATGCACACCGAGTGTTTTATTAACGCTGGTAACGTTTGCTGTGTAAAGAAACGTTAAAAACCCAAGTTTTTTACTCTTTTTGTATTAGCGCTGTTTTGCTGCCTTTTCGGTGTTTAGCATTTAGATTTTTACCAAAACGTCCAAAAACTCTGGTCTGCCATGTTTTACAGCGTTAGAGCATTTTTACAGCTAAAAAAACTCTTCTTGAATCCCACTAGTTCTGGGTTTTTTCCAGCCAAAAAACTATGTGTGTATGGACACATAGGATAACATGCCGGGGAGTTTACTGACTGTAGAAAAAAAATGTCAAAAGCCAAAAACAGCCGCTGTAAAAACATCCCGTGTGCATGAGGACTAAAGCCTACAGCTAACACTACTGGCGTTTTTATAATGTCCAGTGTGCATGAAACAGCCCCTGCCAAAAAAAAAAAAAAAAAAAAACACTGATAAAAGCCTGTGTGAATGGACACATAGGATAACATGCTGGGGAGTTTATTGGCTGTAGAAAAAAACAAACAAAAAAAAAACCCACCAAAAACAGCAGCCGAGGACTAATGGTTTGCCCTGTGTATGGCATGACAATGCACATGCTGCCTCAACTGTAAAGATTCTCCTTTTTGTAATAGGACCATGTGGACATGGCTGCACTATGTATTCATTCCCACAATGCACCACAGGCACATCTTTTGGATGCTTGGGCACCTGATATTCATTGTGGGATGTTGGGTGAGGGTAACAAAGGGCTGACTTGGAGCTCAAAATTAAAGTTACATACTGAGTGTATCTGACATTCGCTATTACGGAAGAATTATGCAACATTCTGCTCAAAACTTGCATTCCTTTTAATCTTACTACAAAAGGCATATTTAATTTAAAGTGATTTTAAACCTCAGACATGAAATATGAATGGTGATGGGGAGAGACCTCCAGCAGATTATATTGTAAAGCGCTGAGCAAACTGTTGGCGCTATATAAAAATCTGTTCCTCTCTGCGCAGGGGATGGGGGGAAAGGAAGTGGTTGGGGCCTGTCTTCCCTCCAATCAGCTCTCCACACGGAGTTCTACAGAGTAACTTCAGCTCTGCCGTGGGTTTTCTGAACTCTCAGACAAGCTTTATAGATTCTGAATGTAGGAAAGAGAAGACTGCAAAACAGGTACAACTTAGAGGATTTTGTTTCATCTCTGTGCATGACCAGAGGCCAGTCACATCACTGGGTATATGTAAGGGTTTACAACCAGTTTAAAGGTCACACACAGTGTGCTGGGGTAATGCAACAACTGTGCATCAAGGTAGTCAATACACTTTGAATAGGCTAGCACTGTGCTGTAAACAGAGGGAAAAAAAAATATATGATATGGCCCTTTAGATCTAATTCCCACAACACAATGTAGGTTGCATTTTACTGCAATGCATTGCAAGTATAGGAACAAAATGGTGGGGGCATGGGACTGGATCTCTGAATAATACAGATTCATGCGACTAATATTCTCAGTAGCTGGCCTTAATGCCATGTTTACATTTTACAAGCACAGTGGCACACATTTCACTAGCTGTTAGCTTGACTATAGGATTCGCTTTTATATACGATTAAAATCTTAACATTAAAAAGAATCCTAAAGTCCATTGTAATCCACTCCAGCGATGCGATGTCCACAAGCAACCTCCCCGAAGCGTGCAATTTCATCATCTTCCAGTTTTAGCATTCTTGGCGATTTTGCTTGGCTCGCTGAGGATGTGCATTGGCGTTCATTCACCCCCTGCATGCAGTCATTGCAAAAATGTACATCTCTTCTGCAACTATAAAGCCTGCCGGTGCTTTGATTGGTTTCGACAGTCCAGTAAAGTTGGAAAAGACTAACTGTACCTACCTATCAAAACTGAGGATTACAATTGGACTTTAAAGCTGAAAACACCTGAGCAACACGTTGCGCTTTTTCTGAGGTTTCTTTTCTTTGTGTATACACACGACAAAAGTAGCTCATGTACTTTTTTTTGGCATTGGCGTGCTTTGTTGAGTAACACATGGGACTGCGCCTCGTGTTTGGGATGCCATTAAGAAATAACAGCATCACAAGCACATTTTTTTTGTACATTTCCAGGAAATCTCAGGTGTGAACGTAGCCCAAGTCCCCGGTCACACTGGATGCGAATTGGCATGCCAAGTCGCACCCTATTGTCTGCAATTAGAGCGGTCAAATTGGTTGGAGCCGCGCCGAT